TATAAACTTCAATCTTCCATGAATCTCGCATTCATAACTGCTCTGGCATATCAAATGTAAACAAATGACGTCATATATTAAGAAATGGACAAAGTCCGACAATTTATTTTATTAAAGACATTTTTATGTTTAACGTTCTTTTTTATAGATACAAGTATTTAAGTAAATGCTCTGTTTATAATAAACAGTATTAATGACGGTTCCGTATAGGATGCGGTTCGAATCTGTCAAAAGGACGAATATTTTCTAAAAAATTTCTCGGACATTCAGGCCGGTAAATGTTATTTAATACTGTTTATTATAAACAGAGCATTTACTTACTATCTATAAAAAAGAACGTTAAACTAAAAAATGTTTTATTAAATAAAATTGTCGGACATTTTGTCCATTTTTAATATATATATATATATATATATATATATATATATATATATATATATATATATATGAAAAGACTTTTAGCGCCACAATATCTAATTATTATTCTTAAAACAGGAAGATTTTATTAATCAAAAAGTCGGATACAAAAGTATCGTCTCGATTAAAAATAGAAACTTAAGGTACCATTCGTCCGCCGCTTCATCAGAAGAAAAATCGTCGAAATTAAGATAAACTACTGAAACAAACCTCCTTGCAAGAGATACTGAGTAGAGGGAGAATTAAAATTGCCCAGAACGAGACAATAACTCGCCGATTGTTTTTCAGTTCTTTCTGCCTACACAGATAGCCGGACGAGACGTGTGGATATCAACCGCCTCCAGGATGTTGATTATATTTTGTCCGATCTCTGTACAGCACAGAGAAGAACCCCGCTGAATAATTGGACCCACGAGTAAGCGAACTCAATAAATGCTCCCCGATAGCAGACTCATGGGCCTGTGCGTACTCGGATGCTAAAGGAGCATTTCTACGTATAGAGCTAAGCAAGGGAGAGACGGTGGAGCAATGGATAGCGGCTTGGATTGAATTCCAGTCAAATCCATTGCATTCACTTACGTACTAATACGTTTAGGAAAGGTATGAATCTTGTTAATCTCCAAGACCACCACCACCGCCAGCTATGGGTAAATAGCAGGACAGTCCGGATGACAACTGGTGTACCCCAGAAGGAAAGAGCAACCTCTTGCGGGAAAAATATCTACCTCGTCAATCATGTATCGAAAGATACATGATCGCCTACATGTGTATCACGCATGACACATAACTGACTACTTGATCTATCTATAGCACGACAGACCAGGTTTTGTAGCCTTGGATGGTAGAAAAAAATGGCAGCCTACTGCGAGAACAATATCTGCCTCGTCAGTAATGTATCGAAATATACATGATCGCCGACGCGTGTATCACGCATAGCAAATAACTGACTGACGTGCTGCGCAATCTGCACCTCCAGCCATTGGATAGTCTTACCCACATAATCGACGTCACACTGACACTTAAAACGATAAATAACTAAACTTTGTTGATAGATGGACAAGACATCCTTACGGACGGAGGGAAAAATCACTTCTAGTAGTGAAGATGTTCCGTGCAACTACAGACTCTAAGAAATGCATGACAGTCGAGGAGATCTTATCTGCGTATAATTAACTGCAAGAGTCAATCCAAGGTAATCTTATGTAGGTAGAACATAGATGGACCCAATGTTTTAATTTCAATAAACATAGATATTTTAAGTCCAATATTAGTTCTGATAACACCTTCAGGATAGCCGTTGTCAAGAAAGATATTAGTAATTTCCCTGAGTTCGGTATCATGTTTGCACTCCGAACATATCATCAATGCACGATGTGTAATTGTTCTGACAAAGTTAATTTTCCTAGACTTAGGAGCAAAAGAGTTCCACCTGAGAGACAACCCAGTAAAAGTGGGCTTCCTATATACACAGGTGAGAAAAGAAGTGCGAGTTCTCACAGCCTTCACGTCCAGGGTAGGTAACGTGTTATTATTCTCCACCTCCATCTTCAATTATAAAGATGAGTGGAGGCTATTTAGATGCTAAAAAACCTGTTTGCCTCACTATGTGATAAAAAACGATGTAAAAAGTGTCATCAACATAACTGAAATAGCAGTATAATTTAGGCATCTTATCAAACAGTTACATCCTAACCCTACAAAAATATTGGTAATGAGAGGTCCCAAAGGACTACACATTACTGACTCATGTTATTATCGAAGCTGAAAGAGACAGACATAGTAGTCATCTTCATCAGCTCGACAAAGACAATCTCAAGAAAAGATAGAGGCTTTAAGGGGCCACAGTACACATAATCAGCACAAATGTCAATAGTTTCAGGTTTATTTCCTTCCAGCAGTTTATCTTAATTCAGATGATGTTTTTTTTCTGACGAAGCTTCGGACGAAAGGTGCATTAAGTTTTTATTTTTAATCGAGACGATATTTTATATAAAGAATCGAGGAAAGTGACAGAGATAAATAGACCACAGGAAGATATAAGCGTAGGAACATAGGTAGATAGATAGATATGAAAAGGAATAGATAGATAGATAGATAGATAGATAGATAGATAGATAGTCGGTTAGTCTATCCCTGTTGCAGATGCCTGATCAGGCACAATTGTGTTTGTTCAAGTTCCATAGTAGTCACTCTTCATTTATAAAGCAACTGTGTTGGGCAGACCTTAGTTAATGTTTCCTGGAGAGAGTGCACAATCTGGCGTGATCAACAGTTTGAACAAAACCAGCCCAGTCAAAACATCGTTCACGAATGCCTACTACGAACATCAACGGCTATCTAGCTAGCTAGCTAGCTAGCTAGCTAGATAGATAGATAGATAGATAGATAGATAGATATGAGCAGTATGAAAGACAAACAATTAGATAGATAGATAGATAGATAGATAGATAGATAGATAGATAGATAAGATAGATAGATAGATGTGAACAGAATGAAAGAGAAACAATTAGACAGATAGTGTTGTAACTTAGGGAAAATTACTGAATAGAATAATTAAACGAAGGTTGGTAATGAACGATAACGTTTAGGACAAGAACAACACATATAAGATTCGACAGCGGCACGTAGAAATAGTAGTCAACTGCTAGAAGTGAATCAAGTGAATTCCTCAATGAATCTCCAACTGCAGTGTATCTACGAACCGACCCACGCGGTCAGATATAGCACAAGACCGAATTTAATGTGAGGTATCCATGCCAGTAAGCTTGGTTAAAAATTCCCCGTATAAAACGAGGTCGGGTAGCTGCTTCCAGAGACGAGACTCTGCCCTTCGACATAGCCTCATCGGGGGATCCTCTCTGCCCGGAGGCAGAGAGTTTGACCAGCATAGCTGGAGACGAATTTCCAACTGCAAACTAACATACAGTATTTACTACTGTATGCGAATGGAGACATACCCATTATCGTCCGTAGATATGCTACCACAGATAGATAGATAGATAGATAGATAGATAGATAACAAAATACCAAGTGAATTAGCAAAAATATTTCTTTTCCCTTTTACAATCGTTTCTACTGAAAAAAAAATAGCAAATAGCATTTAAGTCACTCTTGTTATTGTCTGATAAACGAATGATAAGTAACTGTGAAGAGCTGGAGGATTTTGTTTATAGTCTTTTTGTTTAATATTTATATGTATAAATGCGCACGTCTCTCAAGAACATTAACATACACTGAATAACAATGTCGAACTTGGACACAAAACAATTTTGGTTCTTTCTCGTTCACACGTTAATTTCAAAATGTTTTAGTTTTTAATTTCAAAATAATAAAATCTTTCATTGTTGTTCTTATCGAGATTTATTGTTCTTTTTAAATAATATATATATATATATATATATATATATATATATATATATATATATATATATATATATATATATATATATATGCTATTTACATCGTCCGCTATCTAAATTTATCGAGATCTTTTTATATAAAAAATCCTGTTACAATTCATTGTATATATTTACAAAGAAAATACCCAGAAGTAATTTTTATATACAAGATAAATTCATAATGTCTTATATACGCAGCTATTTAATGTTTCAAACGTTTCTATATATATATCTATATACTTATATACCTAACACATACATTCACAAAGCCTTTCACCTGTGTAATCTAGAGATGAGTCAATGGATACTTACTTGTTTGAGGGTCGGAGGCGAACGCATTCGGGATTTGAAATATTAAATGTCTGAAAGTAAATAGAAGAATATTTTCATTAAAAAATGTCGGAGCAGAGAAAATCAAACAAATCAACAAATGCGAAATGATTGTCTGCAACTTACACTGACTTTTTTCTTTTGTCTTATATAAGAGAATAATATTTAAATTTTGCGTAAGTTTAAATCTTTTGTCATTGGAATTCAAAGCAATGTTTATTTTGATAATCGATAAAAAAGAGACAGTTTGTTTTCGATCGTGAAACAAAAAAAAAAAAATGAACTTGAATGTTAATCTGTTTTTTCGCTTGTAGGAAGAAAAAAACACACCATCTTTTCTGATCATTTTCAGCTATATATATATATATATATATATATATATATATATATATATATATATATATATATGTGTGTGTGTGTGTGTGTGTGTGTGAGGTATATTTAAAATAAACTGTAAATCAGCAGACATGAAAAAGAATGAGACAGATATGAACATCATGCAATAGATAGATGGATAGACAGACAGATATGAACAGCATGCAATAGATAGATGGATAGACAGACAGATATGAACATCATGCAATAGATAGATGGATAGACAGACAGATATGAACAGCATGCAATAGATAGATGGATAGACAGACAGATATGAACAGAATGCAATAGATAGATGGATAGACAGACAGATATGAACAGCATGCAATAGATAGATGGATAGACAGACAGATATGAACAGCATGCAATAGATAGATGGATAGACAGACAGATATGAACAGAATGCAATAGATAGATGGATAGACAGACAGATATGAACATCATGCAATAGATAGATGGATAGACAGACAGATATGAACATCATGCAATAGATAGATGGATAGACAGACAGATATGAACAGCATGAATAGATAGATGGATAGACAGACAGATATGAACAGCATGCAATAGATAGATGGATAGACAGACAGATATGAACAGAATGCAATAGATAGATGGATAGACAGACAGATATGAACAGGCATGCAATAGATAGATGGATAGACAGACAGATATGAACATCATGCAATAGATAGATGGATAGACAGACAGATATGAACAGAATGCAATAGATAGATGGATAGACAGACAGATATGAACAGCATGCAATAGATAGATGGATAGACAGACAGATATGAACAGCATGCAATAGATAGATGGATAGACAGACAGATATGAACAGAATGCAATAGATAGATGGATAGACAGACAGATATGAACAGCATGCAATAGATAGATGGATAGACAGACAGATATGAACAGCATGCAATAGATAGATGGATAGACAGACAGATATGAACAGCATGCAATAGATAGATGGATAGACAGACAGATATGAACAGAATGCAATAGATAGATGGATAGACAGACAGATATGAACAGCATGCAATAGATAGATGGATAGACAGACAGATATGAACAGCATGCAATAGATAGATGGATAGACAGACAGATATGAACAGCATGCAATAGATAGATGGATAGACAGACAGATATGAACATCATGACAGATAGATGGATAGACAGACAGATATGAACATCATGCAATAGATAGATGGATAGACAGACAGATATGAACAGCATGCAATAGATAGATGGATAGACAGACAGATATGAACAGCATGCAATAGATAGATGGATAGACAGACAGATATGAACATCATGCAATAGATAGATGGATAGACAGATGATATGAACAGCATGCAATAGATAGATGGATAGACAGACAGATATGAACATCATGCAATAGATAGATGGATAGACACACAGATATGAACAGAATGCAATGATAGATGGATAGATGACAGAATGAACATCATAATAGATAGATGGATAGACAGACAGATATGAACAGCATGCAATAGATAGATGGATAGACAGATATGAACAGCATGCAATAGATAGATGGATAGACAGACAGATATGAACAGCATGCAATAGATAGATGGATAGACAGACAGATATGAACATCATGCAATAGATAGATGGATAGACAGACAGATATGAACATCATGCAATAGATAGATAGATAGACAGACAGATATGAACAGAATGCAATAGATAGATGGATAGACAGACAGATATGAACATCATGCAATAGATAGATGGATAGACAGACAGATATGAACATCATGCAATAGATAGATAGATAGACAGACAGATATGAACAGAATGCAATAGATAGATGGATAGACAGACAGATAGAACATCATGCAATAGATAGATGGATAGACAGACAATAGAACATCATGCAATGGATAGATGGATAGACAGACAGATATGAACATCATGCAATAGATAGATGGATAGACAGACAGATATGAACATCATGCAATAGATAGATGGATAGACAGACAGATATGAACAGCATGCAATAGATAGATGGATAGACAGACAGATATGAACAGCATGCAATAGATAGATGGATGGACAGATATGAACAGCATGCAATAGATAGATGGATAGACAGACAGATATGAACATCATGCAATAGATAGATGGATAGACAGACAGATATGAACATCATGCAATAGATAGATGGATAGACAGACAGATATGAACAGATAGATGGATAGACAGACAGATATCATGCAATAGATAGATGGATAGATAGACAGATATGAACATCATGCAATAGATAGATGGATAGACAGACAGAATGAACATCATGCAATAGATAGATGGATAGACAGACAGATATGAACATCATGCAATGATAGATGGATAGACAGACAGATATGAACATCATGCAATAGATAGATGGATAGACAGACAGATATGAACATCATGCAATAGATAGATGGATAGACAGACAGATATGAACATCATGCAATAGATAGATGGATAGACAGACAGATATGAACATCATGCAATAGATAGATGGATAGACAGACAGATATGAACAGCATGCAATAGATAGATGGATAGACAGACAGATATGAACATCATGCAATAGATAGATGGATAGACAGACAGATATGAACAGCATGCAATAGATAGATGGATAGACAGATATGAACATCATGAATAGATAGAATAGACAGACAGATATGAACATCATGCAATAGATAGATGGATAGACAGACAGATATGAACAGCATGCAATAGATAGATGGATAGACAGACAGATATGAACAGCATGCAATAGATAGATGGATAGACAGACAGATATGAACATCATGCAATAGATAGATGGATAGACAGACAGATATGAACATCATGCAATAGATAGATGGATAGACAGACAGATATGAACAGAATGCAATAGATAGATGGATAGACAGACAGATATGAACATCATGCAATAGATAGATGGATAGACAGACAGATATGAACATCATGCAATAGATAGATGGATAGACAGACAGATATGAACATCATGCAATAGATAGATGGATAGACAGACAGATATGAACATCATGCAATAGATAGATGGATAGACAGACAGATATGAACAGCATGCAATAGATAGATGGATAGACAGACAGATATGAACAGCATGCAATAGATAGATGGATAGACAGACAGATATGAACATCATGCAATAGATAGATGGATAGACAGACAGATATGAACATCATGCAATAGATAGATGGATAGACAGACAGATATGAACATCATGCAATAGATAGATGGATAGACAGACAGATATGAACATCATGCAATAGATAGATGGATAGACAGACAGATATGAACATCATGCAATAGATAGATGGATAGACAGACAGATATGAACATCATGCAATAGATAGATGGATAGACAGACAGATATGAACAGCATGCAATAGATAGATGGATAGACAGACAGATAGATATGAACAGCATGCAATAGATAGATGGATAGACAGACAGATATGAACAGAATGCAATAGATAGATGGATAGACAGACAGATATGAACATCATGCAATAGATAGATGGATAGACAGACAGATATGAACATCATGCAATAGATAGATGGATAGACAGACAGATATGAACATCATGCAATAGATAGATGGATAGACAGACAGATATGAACATCATGCAATAGATAGATGGATAGACAGACAGATATGAACATCATGAATAGATAGATGGATAGACAGACAGATATGAACATCATGCAATAGATAGATGGATAGACAGACAGATATGAACATCATGCAATAGATAGATGGATAGACAGACAGATATGAACATCATGCAATAGATAGATGGATAGACAGACAGATATGAACATCATGCAATAGATAGATGGATAGACAGACAGATATGAACATCATGCAATAGATAGATGGATAGACAGACAGATATGAACATCATGCAATAGATAGATGGATAGACAGACAGATATGAACATCATGCAATAGATAGATGGATAGACAGACAGATATGAACATCATGCAATAGATAGATGGATAGACAGACAGATATGAACATCATGCAATAGATAGATGGATAGACAGACAGATATGAACATCATGCAATAGATAGATGGATAGACAGATGATATGAACAGCATGCAATAGATAGATGGATAGACAGACAGATATGAACAATAGATAGATGGATAGACAGACAGATATGAACATCATGCAATAGATAGATGGATAGACAGACAGATATGAACATCATGCAATAGATAGATGGATAGACAGACAGATATGAACATCATGCAATAGATAGATGGATAGACAGACAGATATGAACAGTATGCACAGATAGATGGATGAACAGACACAGACAGATATGAACAGCATGCAATAGATAGATGGATAGACAGACAGATATGAACAGAATGCAATATAGATGGATAGACAGACAGATATGAACATCATGCAATAGATAGATGGATAGACAGACAGATATGAACATCATGCAATAGATAGATGGATAGACAGACAGATAGAACATCATGCAATAGATAGATGGATAGACAGACAGATATGAACATCATGCAATAGATAGATGGATAGACAGACAGATATGAACATCATGCAATAGATAGATGGATAGACAGACAGATATGAACATCATGCAATAGATGATGGATAGACAGACAGATATGAACATCATGCAATAGATAGATGGATAGACAGACAGATATGAACATCATGCAATAGATAGATGGATAGACAGACAGATATGAACATCATGCAATAGATAGATGGATAGACAGACAGATATGAACATCATGCAATAGATAGATGGATAGACAGATAACATCATGCAATGGATGGATAGACAGACAGATATGAACAGCATGCAATAGATAGATGGATAGACAGACAGATATGAACATCATGCAATAGATAGATGGATAGACAGACAGATATGAACATCATGCAATAGATAGATGGATAGACAGACAGATATGAACAGCATGCAATAGATAGATGGATAGACAGACAGATATGAACATCATGCAATAGATAGATGGATAGACAGACAGATATGAACATCATGCAATAGATAGATGGATAGACAGACAGATATGAACATCATGCAATAGATAGATGGATAGACAGACAGATATGAACAGCATGCAATAGATAGATGGATAGACAGACAGATATGAACATCATGCAATAGATAGATGGATAGACAGACAGATATGAACAGAATGCAATAGATAGATGGATAGACAGACAGATATGAACATCATGCAATAGATAGATGGATAGACAGACAGATATGAACAGATGCAATAGATAGATGGATAGACAGACAGATATGAACAGATGCAATAGATAGATGGATAGACAGACAGATATGAACATCATGCAATAGATAGATGGATAGACAGACAGATATGAACAGCATGCAATAGATAGATGGATAGACAGACAGATATGAACATCATGCAATAGATGAATGGATAGACAGACAGATCAGCACATCAGATAGATGGATAGACAGACAGATATGAACAGCATGCAATAGATAGATGGATAGACAGACAGATATGAACATCATGCAATAGAGATAGATGGATAGATATGGATAGACAGACAGATATGAACATCATGCAATAGATAGATGGATAGACAGACAGATATGAAACATCATGCAATAGATAGATGGATAGACAGACAGATATGAACAGCATGCAATAGATAGATGGATAGACAGACAGATATGAACAGCATGCAATAGATAGATGACAGACAGATATGAACAGCATGCAATAGATAGATGGATAGACAGACAGATATGAACATCATGCAATAGATAGATGGATAGACAGACAGATATGAACAGCATGCAATAGATAGATGGATAGATGACAGATATGAACAGCATGCAATAGATAGATGGATAGACAGACAGATATGAACATCATGCAATAGATAGATGGATAGACAGACAGATATGAAACATCATGCAATAGATAGATGGATAGACAGACAGATATGAACAGCATGCAATAGATAGATGGATAGACAGACAGATATGAACATCATGCAATAGATAGATGGATAGACAGACAGATATGAACATCATGCAATAGATAGATGGATAGACAGACAGATATGAACAGCATGCAATAGATAGATGGATAGACAGACAGATATGAACATCATGCAATAGATAGATGGATAGACAGACAGATATGAACATCATGCAATAGATAGATAGATAGACAGACAGATATGAACAGAATGCAATAGATAGATGGATAGACAGACAGATATGAACATCATGCAATAGATAGATAGATAGACAGACAGATAGAACAGAATGCAATATAGATGGATAGACAGACATCATCATGCAATAGATAGATGGATAGACAGACAGATATGAACAGCATGCAATAGATAGATGGATAGACAGACAGATATGAACAGAATGCAATAGATAGATGGATAGACATCAGAATGCAATAGATAGATGGATAGACAGACAGATATGAACAGAATGCAATAGATAGATGGATAGACAGACAGATATGAACATCATGAAATAGATAACGAAATATCAAGTGAGATA